CATTACCTCTATGCCGCTCGATGCCGTCGCGTTGAACGTGCTAAACGATCTTTCAAGCATCGTTGACTGTCGAGCGCCTTCTGAGTCAAGCTCTTCTACAGAGCACGAGGGTCTTGACACCACCACAGATATAGCGCAATCCTAATGGGAACATCCAGAGAGGAGATGAAGACGTACCATCTGTGTGAAGGACGTCCAACCCGACAGCGTAGCGCCCCTGACCCTGGAGAAAGCACTGCAGCATTCTTCTGGGTGTTCCGCGCTGGCGACTTCCGCGCTGGCCACTGCCAACCTGTCGCGTTCCCATATTTTCCGTAACCTTCCAAACTACTCGCCTCCACTTGTCATCGTCGTTTATATGATGATAGCACATGACCTCTCATTGTATTGATTTATATGCAATGCGCACTATCTTAACCCTGGCTTATTGTTCTTCAACTGCTGGGGGACTAACTGACACGCAATATGCAGAGCCTTGTAAGTACACCTCTCTACCATGCGTTCCGAGACATCCTGGATACCACGGGGGTATCGTCGCTACGCGAGTGCGATGCCACTCGCACTCATTGCCGTAAGCTATTGATGTTGGAAAGAAGGAAAAGTGGGGCCAATTAGCATAGATATCTTGGCTCAGATATATTGTCATCGGTGAACTTCAGATCCGTCTTGTTGCAAGTGCTTTGATGTCAGCTTGCTACGCTAAGACACGAAGACAGCAACCACGTTACAATGGTGTAGCGCAAGGCGTGAAACTTACTGCCGTTGCCACGATTGCTTTACGACATGCGTGGACGCAATAAATGAGGCCGTCGTTGGGTTGCAACTATGAGCTCGGAACTCGAGGAGGTACAGACGAGCCAGGAGCACAAAATGAAGCATGTCCGCGCTCCATCACGGTACGTGTGTCGGACCAGAATGTTGGCAAGTCGACGGCGGATATCTCATGAGAGATGCTGTATGAAATGTCGAAGCCAATAAGTTATTTGGTTGGATCCTTCTACCCACGCGTGACGCCCACACTCTCTAGCAACTTGTGCCAAAGGTGAATAAGGAACCTCATGAGTTCTTTGAAGATGTTTATGATCTGAATCCATAGGGGTGGTGGCGGCGCATGTGCTCCTTCTTGATCGACACCACCGTCTGCAGGGGCTTCTGTCGTAGTGGCGGTAGTATGCGCAACAGGCTGCCTGTTTCTATGTGGCCGGAGGTGCTCGAGGTAATGATGCGCTCCTCTAACTGCAGACTCCGCCTCTACCGGCGCGTAAGCAAGGGCCATGGTGGAGCATAAACCCGACTTTACTGCTGCGTGAATGATCATAGGGTGCAATATAAGGCCGAGCGTCGGGTACCTCTCGGCCCGTATTCGACTGGCCCACTTCATCCATATGCAACCTGGAGGCGCTCATAGTAACGCGCGCGAGATATCTGCACGGTTTTGGTGCTCTTGAGCGTGGATATCGCGCTGCGATCTGACAACCTATAGTTCAGAATCGAACTGCAAGAAAGCGCGGTGAGCGACGAGTATCAGGACCACGACGACGCGCGACGTACGGGGAATGCCAGGATGTCGACCCTACTACCGAAAGATCTCTACCACCTCGGCTCTGATGATGGCTGAAGCAGAGTTGCCAACCAGATACGTGCTCACGCATGGCCTCAACGCTTCCGCGAGTGATCAGAGTCCTCATTGCAAACGGCGACTACAAAGTCAACAATGAGGCAACAGCACGCCTGCTTGCAGCATCGTGTTCATCTAGACCTCTACTGAATGACTTTGGTTCAACCTTAACGTGCGTGGTAGTTTCCAACCTGTCAGATGCCTCCGCGGCGTTCGGCAAGCGGCCGAACAAAGGATAGGTCAGGGATGGCGAGAAGGCGAGGCAACCGCGGGAGACCGGAGGTCTGGTTGTCGCGAGAATCGGAGCCCTTGGTGCATACAATAGGTGCTTCGATCTGCATAGAACTCGACGGACGACGCCCATGGCGCGAGTCTTGTTCCCAGAGGCACACTTGTGACCCCTTACGTAGAATGACAGCGCTTGTGTAGCGCCCTAGGGCAACCTCGTTCGGTCTGCCCGAGCCTACGAGCCAAGACTTAGAGCAGCTTACATGGGCACGCGACACACTTGCAGGGAATGGTCCTTTATAATAGTTTTCTCTGGGGTGATACGACGTATTGAATTGCACGTAGGGCCAGGGGCGGCTACATTAGCATGCCCAACGACTGCGCTCAGCGAGCGTGATTGGGGGCGGCAAACTGTGGGACTGCTTCAGGTCGAAGTCCACGCGTGTCCTCCTTCAGATTATCCTAGAACGTATACCAACGTACGCCGAGGCACACTGGAGCGCGCAAGCCAACCCGGGGAGAGTCGCTCCGGTGGGGCATGGGGCGAAACTTGGGCGCCGCTGATGTGAAAGGAGGTTGTTTGGGTGCAACCGTCCATTTCGTACACACGTCGGCGGTTTCTAGTGCCGCGTCCTGAGGCGAATACAGGAGGTTGGTGGCATCTGGAGCATGGGAGTAGCCGCTGAGAGGTGGTCGCAGTTAGGCGACGCGCCTGAAGATGCACCTCGTTGAGAATAGGCGATTTGAAAAACAGTAGATACGGCGGTGCATACCCCATTCTTCATGCCATGAAGGCTATCGCGCAAACGTCATGACATAACGTTGCGCGGTAACACGGTTGCTCCAACTGCGATCGAGGTAGCATTACGGTCAAGCAAGGCGTGCAATGTGCGAGAACGCAACGGAGATGTTGAAGGTTGTAGATAGAAGCAGCGCAAGAAGCGCTGAAGCATGACGGTCAGACGCGGAGGGGGGAGGGCGCTTGCGCTCGATGTCGTCACGCGTCCCACCCCGTGTTTCTGGCTATGCCGGTTCCTTACGGCGTCCACAACCTCACTTCCACCCTACTGAGCTCGCGCGAGCTTCCTGCTGCACGTATGCATTTGGCACTCTACTCGATACTTGCCAAAGTCAGGAAGCCTATGAGAGGGGCTGTCCGGAACTTCGAGGGGCTGAAACTGTTTGTTCTTTCGCATCGTTCCGTACCAGCTTCAACTTCTTAAGTCCTGCAGGGAGCATACAGGCTGCGGCCTGAACTGGTCGAACCAACGCGCAGGAAGCTCTTATACGCTTCTTATCTACGGCACGCCGTCGTCAAGCCGTAGCGCGAGATCGTGGCCTCTGTCGATGCTAGACTGGTGGCCCTACTCAGGTTGAGGCGCCGCCTGAATGCGTACAGAAAGGCGTGCGGAGTTCTTTGAAAGGACGAAGGCACGTGCTTCAAGTTCGGTTCCTATATGTATATATATGCAAGATGCGCCCATCGTCCGTTCTGTTCTCTTTCGCCGGTTTTCTCCATGTCGGACGAAGAGGAACCCGAGGGCGCCTCTCTGTCTCTGAGCAAAGAACAGCTTCGCGTTATCGAGACCATCATTGACGACGAGTTCGTGCCCTATGTCCGGCAAACTGATCCTGAATTCAGCGGTTATGGAGGCGTCAGCCCGTGGGCACGCCGGCGCAGGGATTCCTTGATGGCGAAGAATTCGCTATTTCGAACACCAGAGGTCCGATCCAACCGCAAAGAATACGGCCAGGTATGCATCCATGTGCTGAAGCGAAGCGCCAGGCGCTGACAGCCTATCTCAGCTTATAGACCGCAAACTGCGTAATAAATACAACTACCTCAAGATTCGTGAAAGCCCATTTCGCAAGTCGCTTCTGAAGTGCTTGATCCCGCGCCCTACGGGAATTCAGATGTTCGAACAAGGCGTAAAGAAGGAACTCCTCGAAGAGAGCGAGGAGCAGGACGCCGAAATCTATCAGTCGCAGCTCAAGGCGAGATGGAAGGCGTTGAGTGCACAGAAGCGCAAGGAGTACGAACAGGAAGCCGGAGCTCTTTCACAAAGCGTTGATTAGTGCGCTCATCGTTGCTGTTTGTGTCGGCGCTAGGCTAATCGTAGTATTAGCAACCGTAGCTTGCTCATGACCAACTTCAAGACCGCCCTGGATGTACTCTGCCAAGAGGATTCGCTCGGAGGTATGACTGCGACCACGCTCTTCGGCTTTCGCAAACCAGTCAACGATGAAGTGGGCATCGACATGTACGCACCCCGTTCTATGCTTCAATGGAGTTCGACTCATAGATCTCAGGCTGCACGGCCGCATCTCCACTGACAATGCCAGGTTTGGTGCTGACCAAGATGAGCATAAGATCTTGGCGGCGTTGGGCTCAGCATGGCGCGAATATTCTGGCAAAATCATTCCTCGTACGTTTGCTATGCATTGTAGACGTCGCAGTCTGCTGATTACGATCTCTTCGCAGGTCGTCCTCAGCGGGCTACTCCCACGGATGGCCCCTCGGACGACGATACCATCATCCCTAGCAACAATTCTGGACTTCCATTGTTCCCTTCGATCAACGTCAAGAAATTCAGACCCGACGAGCTCTACGAACTGGTGGTTAAGTACTACGATGCTGAATGGGGTGCGTTACGTTTGCGAACTAGCCATGAACGGCGGGCTGATCTGGATGCCAGAATACTCGCGTGATCTCGGCCACCCCCGCGAACTTCCGTGGGACGACCTTGTACGCAACCCGTCTGATTTCTACGACACAAAACGATTCGACTTTATCTGCTTCAACAAGGACGAGCTTCAGGATCCGGGCAAGGTGTACACGTACGCTCAAGTGCTTCGAGAACGGTGCGGCGCTACGTCAGAGGATCCCTTCACATTTGCGCTCGGACTTCATCAGCGGTCCCTGTCGCCTTCCTTCGAGATGAACGCTGAGGTGGCGGTTGGTGGTCATGCTGCAGAGCTAGCTGAGTCGAGCGATAGCTCGCATCAGAACACCGGCTCCGGTTCACTTGTGAGGTTGTCACTTCACCAGCCTGCGTGCATCTCTAACCTCTCCCTATCTACGCTATAGAGGGCTTCCCCTATGACGGTGTATCAAGATCCAAAGGTCGCATCTCCATCAGTACAGAATGGGAATCCAAATGCTCCGGATGAAGCCACGCAGCCCGGCGAAGGTGCAATGCGGACGCGTTCGCAATCTCAAGAGGAAGACGGTACACCGGCGCTTTCACCGCCACCAGTGAGACGCTCTGTCAAACGCAAGCTGGGCGAAGAGGCTCTAGATTCTTCTGAGGAGACGAGGGGCGGCGAACGTTCGAGTCAATCTGGAGAGAATGGGAAAACTGCGTACGTCGCGAGACCTCCAGCTTTTGGGAAGCACGCCGCTTATACTACGGTGGCTCCAGTGTCATCCAGGGGCGGAGCCAGAGACGTGTGCGTGGCAAGCACGACGGTCGCTCCAAACCGCCTGTCACAGTACTCCCCGCCCAAGTCGCAAAGGACACGTTCGCTTCCAAGGGCTACCAGTTCAAGCTCTCCAAGAAGGTGCAGAGGTACGCCATAGCCTTCGATGACTACGTACGAGGCGGTGGGGCAATCATCACTGCCGACGAGGCCGATGATCGGAAGCAGATACCGGCGCTGGTTGGTTTTTCTGCGCAGTGTGTATGCATGAGCTCACCATCGAAACTGTAGACGATCGTCGCATACGACCCGGAGTGGCTGGCCCGCCAGGTAGATTGGCAGGGATACGTCGTGAGTCGTCCTTGAAAGACGGCCTGACGCTGGCGTCAGGAGTGCCCTGGAGTGCGACCCTATGTTGCTGTACCCCATAATACAGTCGTGGACCGGGATGGTATAGTGCCATTATGAGATCGTGGACCGGGATCCAGCTGGACGAGGGTACATAATATAATAAAAAGCTGTGGCAGGTTGGGTGATGAGGTCGGGATGGTCGGGATGCAAAATAAAAGTACTGCGGGTATCCAAATGTAGTAATACTGTGGTGCTGCGGGGGCCTGTAGGTGCCTAAAAC